GGTTTGATAAGTTAACCATGTCTCTAAAAAGGCTGAACTAATCTCTGTTCTGTGTATAGTATTAATGTCAAAATTTACTCAGACCTATATAGTTGAGGATCAGCTATATAATACAGTGAGTCAACCAATGCTTTTCTATGTATAATAGGGAATTGTTAATCAAATAAAGTCAGTTTAAATGTGCCCAACAGCTGAAATCCATTCTGCTTAGCAAAGTAAGTCATATCAGATCAGGCCCATTAAAGCAGTGGGGATCTGGCTTGTTAACTCCTCTGTAAATACTACTGATTCAAAAGTGCCTACTTTTGTTGTACCTTACTATGCTGAAGTTGCAACTAGAGTAAGATTATTTTAATCAATGGAACACATGGATGAGCTGACTCACCAAATACCCAGTGAATGAACTGGCGTACTTTAACGCAATTTACTGTTCTAAGCAAGAGATTTCGGCTAATAAGTTATTTATTTTAAATTTATAAACCATAAATACTTACATAATATTTTCTTGACCTGGCACTCCCCAAATATGTTGAACTACAATTCCCAGAATCCTAAAACAGCATACTAACACATATGGAAAACACCATGCTAATTTTAGATGTTAGAATATTAATACACATAAATTTATTGGTATTGTCTTCCATCCTTGGTTCTGGAAATTTGTCCATACTGTCTTCAAAGAAAAAGATCTTCGTCTTCTTCAATGCGTACAGTCAGAAATACAAAACAGGAGCTGCTCACTTCAAGCACATATACTTTGTGGATTTAGATTACACTCCTTGCCAACATAAAGCATGGTTGGGTAACTGCCTAATGTAGCACTGGGACCCAGATGTTGTTGGACTACAACTCCCACTAGCAGACTAGCATCTTATTACAGCCTTAAATCCAACACTGCACTAGCAAAACAGCAGCAAGACTTCCCACCCCCAGAAGCCAAAGCTCTCCATATTGACCGAAATCTGCTCTACAGGGTTTCCCAGCCTTCCAGTACAAATTACAAAGTGTGAAATCAGCAGCAGAACTGCCTACCTTCATTCTGCATATCACTGTATCCAATCTATACCAATCCCATCCTTTATGATGTTAAAAGTAAATTTCGTGTGCATGGGCCAGGGTGGATTTAAATCACAATTTAAATTTTAAAAATTGGATTTGGGATTTTAAATGTAATTTAAAAATGAATTGTGATTTAAATAAATTTGATTTTTGAAAAATCATTGATTTTTATTTACCCTGGTATCAGCCCTTCCAAGAAGTGTTTGCAGTCAGCCAATCCAACGGCGTACATATGTTAGTTAATACATCTAACTCTTCTTTATACTAATCAGAAAGAAACTGCAAATGGTAACAACTCAAAACCCATCCACTGGCAACATTTAGACAATCACAGTAAGGCAAAAGATGAAAAAGTATTTTGTGGGAACATTCAGCCCTTTGCTTCTTACTTCACATAAGTGAGTAAAAAAAAGCAAAAAGGTTCCCATTTCTTTCAAATTGAGAATCAAAGGTTGATAAGATTCAGAAAAGGCAAGGACAGAGGACCTCTGCTTCAAGATGATTTCACATCCTGGTTTCTTCAAATCATAGCTTCTCAGATTATCCATGGAAAATGTCCTGATTGATTTGTTCCCACTATGAAAGGAAAAGTTTATAGGCTGTGCATACCCACAGGTTATCAAGCTGAGATATTCTAATCAAAACCAGCCAATTATTATAACAAGCTCTAAATCTCCAGATGGAATCCATTATTCCTATTATTCAGCTGATGTGGACAACTCATTATCCTTTTCGATGTTAGCCCACTTCAGACGTTATCTAGTAAACCTACACCTCATCAGTAGGTTTACTAGATATAGCTGATGTAATTTTCTGACCAACATCTGGAGAGTCACAATTAATAAAAACAACAGTAACAACCTACCAAGTCAATCCTGACTTATAGTGAGCTGTCCAGAGTTACCTAGATATAGAATATTCTGAAGTGGTTTCCAGTCCCTCTTCATGGAGAAGCTCTGAGACCCTGCATTTGTTTGGACAGATTACAGGGCAAGGGTGGTAAACTGTCACCGCTCCAGATTTTTGGACTACAACTCATAAAATTCCCAGCCTATACTGCCAGTGTTAAAGTACTGTAGGAGTTGTCCAAAATATTTCAAGTGTTAAAGGTTCAGTCCTGTTGTATGGCATGTAATCCATCAACTACACTCTCCAGACGATCTGGTCTAGCCCTTGTTTTAGGAGGCAAAATCAAGATCTGAACTTCTAGCCCCTGGAGGTCCCAGTCCTATACCAGCTCAGGTCCTCACTATTGCCATATTACGATTAAAAGACATGACAGTCAAAACAGTTTAGTACATTCTAAATATTAACACTATACTCCCGCATCATTCCACGAAGGCCATGCTGATGGGTTTTCTATCTCCCAAGTTAAAAACAGAAGTGTTGGGGGTGGGGGAAGTCTTATTACTGCCCTTACTAAGGTGCAAAACTAAGAGTGGACTGCAATAGACAAGGCTGCCAATAAGGAAAGGCTTTACACAGAATGATACAACATTCTTCACCTAGCTTATCTCCTTCTCTAGCAATGAATTCATGTCTAAGTAATGAAACAGAAATGTACGTAATTATATAGCAAATAAAGAAGAGGCAATATATTTGAAGCCGCACATAATCCTTACAGGAGAATCAAGATAAATTTGAACAGAATCATCCTTACCAACCAGTCACACCTTAAGTTACAAAAGAGAGGCATCAAATTATCATCTTTTCAAGTGCAGCTCAAGGTAAGTAGCACAAAAAAGGAGCTACCAGTTGTTATATTGACAAACAGGTGAAAGAGCTTAGAATTACATAGAGCAGCCTTCTGCACCTCAATGCCCTTCACATATCTTGGACTACAATTCCCACTATAACAGAACAAAGGTGATACTAGCTAGAGCTGATGGGAGTTACGGTCCAAAACATCTAAAGCACATCAATTACAGAAGTATACAAAGAACCATTTCCACATCACTTTGAAATAAAACATCCCAGTTGAAACTGAATGTCAAGTCTGTAATCCTACAGATGTTTTCTAGGACAAAAGTTCCACTAAACAAAGATGTGGTTAATTTTAAGTAGATGTGTCTAGGAATGGGCTAAAAAATCTAAGGAAAAGGCTGAAATTCTACAGAAATAAAAAAATCCCCATAATTATTCATTTCCAACAAGCTGTGAGCATTTTGCAATTCTGAGGGAATGACTTGCAGAATTTGTTGCTGACATCTCTAGAATTGCAGACACAACTGGCTGAACTAAGAACAACAGAGATAATATGTTCTTGATATGCAAGGAAAACTACTTCTGACTAAGTTTTTTCCAAATTGAGAAGAATCTCCTTCTAAGTTGGAAGCATCTGCTGCCTCCACAAAAAATCACTTCCCAGTCAGGGACAATTACTGTAAAGAAGTGGAAAGTGAAGCTGAGAAGCTGATTTCTGAGATAAATACCAGTCCAATACTGATCTCCCTGAAATTACTGGAGTACACACACACACACACACACACACAAACAAAAGGGGGGGGAGAACCAGTATGGAATATGTTGAGTTAGCTTTTATCCCCTTGCTATGTCCAGAGAGGTCACCAACCTCTCATATCTAGCCTGCTGCGATCAGAGAAACTGAGCGATATCATGCTCTACTGCAAATCTCAGCAGTCAGCACACTAAAAGTTAAAACACACACACACACACCTCTTCATTTTTAAAAGAAAAAGTTAAAACACATACACACACACACACCTCTCTTCATTTTTAAAAGCAACCTTTTGAATTAAGCCTGTCAAATCTAAGTAAGATCACTACTAACAACAAAGGGGCAATGTCGCAACTTCGAAAAAAACCTAAAACACTTCGTGCCATATGGAAAGGGGAAAAAAGACCATATGTTCTCTCGGGCGTGATATGATGGGGAAAATGTTCTCTTTTTAACAAGCAAAGAAGATTTAGCTTCAGAAAGGCTTTTGGAGCAGCCTGGGTAAAGTACTATATTCTTTGTTTCCTCCCAATGCTCGCACTCCAATTCAGGATAACACAATAAAGAAAAAAAAGAACAGAATACTGTATCGTTCTCAATCATATTTAAAATGCCTGAAGTTTGCAATCAGAACCAGAGAAGCACGACCCGCTCGACAAGCCACCCCCCTAACCTTTCAAGGCAGAAGCAGAGTCCGGCCTTGGGACGGACCCGGCCCGCCCGGCCTCCTTTCCTCGCTCTGTGCCCCGGGAGCGAGCCTTCGTGCGCGTCCACGGAGACGGCGAGAATACACCCCTTCCTCAGGCAAGGCGAAATAATGCACCGTCATGGCAAAGCCCCATTCGAGGCCACTGCAGAGAGGCCACCCACCCACCCCCAACTCTCCTCCGGGCCAACTTCCCTCTCCCTTCACAAATCCCTTGGAGGAACAGACGAAAGATACCTCCCTTTAATCCTTTTAAAACGAAGCAAGAGGGGGTGGGGTGGGAGTCGAGGCGGAGGAGAAGGCGAGAGGGGCACATCCTCGCCTCGCCCCCAGGACGGGAAGCCTGCCGACAAGGCCTGGCGCCCCGGAAGGAAGCCTCTCCGCTTTATTTCCCGCTCGGACTCTCACCCAGAAAGCGGCCTTGGCATCCCCGCCTCTTGCCTTTCTCCCCACAAGTTCCCCCCACAGCTTCCACACTGCCTTTCACTCTTCCTTCCCAGTCCCCAACCCCCACCATTCCTTCTCTCTCTCCCCCCCCACGCTCCCGTTCCCTCAGCTTCTCCTCTTCCCGAAATAAGCCTCTCAACTTTTTTTCCCACCAAAACTTAAGACCTGAACTGCTGGAACAGGCCTCTCAAACCTGGGCCTCGCCAGCCTTTTCCCTTCCTCACCCTCCGTCGTCCGTCCCCCCCTTCACGGCCAATTCCAGGCTGAAGCCCAAACCA